AGGAGTGGACTGGGGAGCAGATGGGTGCAGGAGTGGGCTGGGGAGCAGATGGGTGCAGGAGTGAGCTGGGGAGCAGGAGTGGACTGGGGAGCAGGAGTGGACTGGGGAGCAGAGGGGTGCAGGAGTGGACTGGGGAGCAGATGGGTGCAGGAGTGGGCTGGGGAGCAGATGGTGCGGGTGCCTTGGGGACTTCATTTTTGCCATGTATTTATAACACAGGTCTACTCTTCTGTCATCTAGCCTATCTAATTTACCCGCGCTGTAAGGCATAAGCATATGACTCAGCCTCGGGGTAAATTATATTAAGCGCCCTTTTTTGGACTTGCTCCATGGATTCGGACAGATAGCCAGGAATATCCTGCCAAACAGGTACAGCATACTCTAAAATTGGCTGAACTGTGCTAAGATATATCTTCAAGATGTTAGATTGACACACCCTGGCTCTGCGTAGTACTCTAGGGGAGTATAACCTCTTACAAGCTTTCTTAATAATGTAATTAACATCACAGTTCCACTTCGGGTCACTGTCTATAATAACTCCTAAGATCTTATAGGTACTGACACACTGGATGACGTTGCAGCCAATTAATATGGGGTTAATGAGACAATTAGAGTTGCGTAGAAAATTAATATGCCTTTCTTTACACTTAGTTGGATTAAGACTCATATTATGAGCAATGGCAAAATTATGAATATCTGAGGCTAAAACATTGAGTAAGCTAGGGGAATTTCTCGGGATTATTTGGAGAGTGCTGGTATCATCAACATATTTAATGCGCAACCGCCAGTAGGACAGGAGTCTGTTTGTCATCACCATAAAAAGAATCAAACCCAACTTAGTTCCTTGGGACACTCCTCCTTTTAGTGTTAACCAATTTGACAGAGATCCCCCAATTTTAACTGCTTGCCTCCAATGAGTTAAAAAGGCTGCAGTCAAAGATAAAAGGACAAGATGAACCTCAAGGTCTGCGAGTTCCTGCATCAATATTGAGTGGTCAAACAAATCAAACCCTTTAGAAAAATCTACGAAAAATATCCGAGCAGAGGCGTCACCAGTATCAACTGCTTCGTAGATCACTTGAAGCATATATATAAAAGCATCTGTTGTATAGTGCCCTTTATGGGAGAACTGACCAGGGTCGATCTTGCCTTCCAATTGGGATAAAAGTCTGGAAGAAGTAAAGCCTTCCATAACTTTAGCCATAGTACAGGTAAGAGATATAGGTCTTAGATCTTACTCAATAAGTCCAGGTGGAGACACTTTAGGGATAGGTGTAACAATAGACGATTTCAGAAGAGCTGGTATGTACCCCTCCCTCAGGGACTGGTTATAAATGTCACAAACAAGGGGAGCTAACTCAAAGGCAAAATCTTTTAGGAGCCGGTTTGGAATGTTGTCCGGACGGACTGCTTTTGACGTCTGAAGCGATGACAAGGAATTGTATGCCTCATACTCTGAAATTAATAATTCATCAGGAACAGATGGCAGGGGTGCTCCTTGGCACAGGGGTGAGAAAGGTCGGTCAACCCAACAAAAAAGCTATTGATCTTATTTGCTAACAGCTTGATGTCTGTGTTTTTATCAAGGAACTGATGGTACCATTCCTGCTTAACATCCTGGCCTGCTAGTTTTTTTATTTCCCTCCACCATTTTGCAGGGTTCACATGTTAGACCTCCGTAATCCTCTTTTGATAGTAGTGACGTTTTGCTGTTTTTATTGCATCTTGGACTTTGTTTCTCCAATGCCAGTAGGCATTTGAGTCCTTTCTGTGTCGAGAAAATGAAGATTGGCGTCTACTGATCCACATTTTGATCTTGCTAGTTATCCACAGGTGGTCAGTAGGATGTACCTTTATGGTCTTCTGCGGAAGAAAATTATTAATGGCGCCATTAAGCTCCGACATAAGCAGCTGGAACTTTTGCTCACATGAGGAGGCATTGAGAATTGGGGTCCAGTCCTTTTGAGTTATCCATCGTCCAAGAAAGCGCCACACACTGTCTGGCATATCATGCGACACAGATTTCATTGTTGTGTGGGTAGGGAGGGGGGGCACATGCTGGTTTAGCTAAGATAGTGTAATGGTCCGATGATCCGACCTTCAGAAGTGGGATGTGATGTTCCTTGCACTAGATTTCATTTGTCTTTGCTACTGTGATACCAAAATTACCTGTATGTCTTTAAATAAGAGAGGAGATTCTCCTAAAGTGTAAAGATATAAAACTCATTATGTACATGTACTTGTAACTAGACAAGAAGAGGCGGCCCCTACTTGTCGTGATACAACACGCTTTAAAAATTCATGGCTAAGCTACTAAATTCATATAATTTAATTTAATTGCATAAACAGGCTTTTGTTTACTTAATCAGGAGAAGGGTGTATACATGTACATCTATGCCTTGGAAATGGAATTTCTATTTACACAACATTAAAACTACAGTGTATCAAATTGAAAATGTTCTTAAATAACTGGTTCATACATATATGTCAGCTGAGTCAGGGCTCAACACTAACTTTTCAACTTATTAGCCTGGTGGCTGGTGACATCTTAGATGTTACGACAATTTCAGCTTGTTTACTAGCCAAACTAGCCAGTGGAAGTTGAAAACCACCGGCCAAAACAGAATTTCTACTAGTCTGTGACTAGTGGGCCACCGTTAGTGTCGAGCCCTGTGAGTTTTACAATCCTATCCCAGCTGACATGAAGCTCCTAGAAATTTCTCAGCTAAACCTTGAACAATTCTTATACTTTGATGAATGCAAGCCTATGATGTATGTAATCTTAAAATTGTCCAGCATTTAAAAACTCTCCTCTACCATTTTAAACATAATTAGGACAATTTTTCCACAGACAAATCAGGACCTATGATAATGTTTTAACAAATTGCTTACTTCAGTTGTGAAAAGCTGTCATTAGTCATGATCATCACAAAAATGTCTCTGTTTTCTAAGCCTAATTTGAAGACAAAATTCTACAAAACCTGAGGCTTGAAAAGCTCCAATATTTACTACTTCACCATTTAGTACACTCCACACTGAACAAAAAAAGCATTGCTTATCTAATTAAGATCTAAGTAAACATAAATTTTCCTCTCCGTGGATTTAGTAAATCATCACTTCTCTGGTTGTGGTTCGTCGATAGATGACCACTTTTTCATAGCCAGCTGCTCTTCCTCTTTAGCTTCATCATGCCGCCCAAGCTGTTTGAGGACATGAGCTATCTCTCTATGTGTGCGCACTGTCTCCTGATGGTTCCCTAAAACCTTGTCTTGAATGCCAAGTGCACTTCTCAGAGTTTCTAGGGCCTCATTCAGCTCCCCCTTCATATCTAGAGCCTGTTAATTGCAAAAGAGAGCAGAAGGCATTTTAAAACTAGCAATTCTGAATTGGAAACTGCTAACCTTTATGTGGCAAGACAAAGGCTAATTTATGCTTTTTTGTCAGTCCTTTCAATCCCAGGATCGCATGAGTAACTCTCCTCACTATTTGCATTACACCTCTTGTGATGTTAGCTCAGAGAAGTTGGAATTGGTTCAAATAACAATCCCCTTTAAAATTAATTTTGTTCTCATGACATTCTCTGCTTGATTATGAAGAGAAAAATTCTGCACCTTTCCAAGACCATGGAAGGAACGTGCTGTCTCTTGGTGGTCACCCAGTGAATGATTCCTCACGCGCAGTGCTTCACGGAGGAACTTAATAGCACTTTCATAGTCTCCAAGGGCCTGGTATGATATACCCATGTCATCCATCAGAGTGGCAGTAAAGGGATGGTCTCCAAGCAACTCCAAATACACTGGGAGGGAGTATTCCGCTCTGAACTTGTTTGCTTCTTGGTGAGCATCATTGAATGCATAAGCAGCTGCAATTAGATGTAAAAATATGGCTGAACTTGTCATGAAGTGTAATATTTAAGTTACATTAAAGTGCTCATTGAAAAGCAATATCTCAAAATATTTCACTGATTTACCCCAAATATAAACAAATCGATTATTGCAAAAACTTTCTACCAAATATTCAGTATCTTCTTTCACAAAGTATTCAGTACATTAAATTTATTTTCGCAGAGTAGTGTCCGTTAATTGTGAAATGTTCACATGCAAGTTCCCATTTTTGAATACGATATTCTACAATCATGTACAGAATATCCAGCTGATTCACCACAATGAGCTTGTAAATCGCAGATTTCAAAGAGTTGATGACCAGCAATTTTAACCCACAAGTTCACCTCATTCTTTGATTTAGAAATCACCCAAATTTTTGAGTAGAATGAGAAAGTATAGAAATGAATGCAAGTCTTGGGTGGGCTTATCCATTTTTGAAAAACAGATGGTCCTAATGCCTGGATTATAACTAATTTGGAAGCAATTTGTGTTATTTTGTGTTTTTTGTGCTGTAAAGCTTTGTGTCTACTGACAGCTTTCTGGACAGCAACACCATTTACAGGAGTGCTCAGCTTTACGCCTGCTGCTGAACTTCAGCCACTTTCACTGATTCTGTTGAAAACTCTGCAAATGCTTGTTTGTGTCTTTAAATGAGCTTTCTTGTTCCTAGAACTAGAGAGTGACAAATGCATTGTACTGGAAAATACAAAGAAAGTGGGGACACTGTTACTAGTAGCTGTTAAGTCAAAGATAACTGGCCTACTATTCCAACTTCCACTCCACTCAATTTCTACATTGGCCCTCTGCTGCTCAGGTAATCTTCACAGATTATTGAGTGAAACAATTGTACAGTGTATTATACACAATAGTGAGATTAATACCAACTTATTTATTTTACCTCCAAGGTCTTTATAACCCACTGCCACAAAAATCCTATCCTTGTGTTGCTTCCTGATCTCAATTGCCTGCTTTATACGTGGAAGGGCTTCTTTCAGATCTCTCTGTTGGCCAAAACAGCGGCCAAGTTTACTCAGGCAAAATGCACGCACAAGGGACGAGTCATCTTTAATTTCTTTTTGTATCTTGTCAGCCTCCTTAAACTTAGCAACAGCTGGTGGACATGGCAGATGACACGCGCAGTGGGAAAGGATACAATATGCCTCAGAGGTCAAGCAGTCACTATACCTCTTTGTATCATTGCTTGCTTTACATGCTTCTGTAAGCATCCCAAAAACAGAGAGAAACTTCTCTTTTCTGAACACCTTTGCTAGAAAAGGAGTTACTTCAACAGCAGTGTCAATGCACCTTTTTTCCAAGTCAGGATCAGTTACAGAGTCTTTCAGGGCCTGCCTGATGTTAAGCCGATTGACTAAGAAAACCTGGACAGCCTGGCAGCAATCTTTGGACAGGAAAACAGCATAGAGTTCTTTTAGTTTCCCCAAGTAGTGAATGTTGAAAACTTTCTTAGCTGATTGGTAAAATGGGTACAAATCTTCTTCCTGGTTCATGCAGTCATGACAAAATGACTGGATAATATTGTGTACGTAATACTGCTTTAGCAAATGATCAAATTGGAGCATGGAATTATCCACAAGGTTTTGAAGTAATATCCCCAATTTGTAGTCTGACAAGTCTTTGAGGAGAAAATGGGCATCAGTCACAGTGAATGTTGTTGGGAAAACTGCTAGAGAAATCAGGGCAACTTGCTGGTCAGGTTCCAGTCGGCTGAAGCAGATTCTGAGACAGTTAAATAGTTGATGCTCATGGCTCAGTGAATTGAGACTAAAAGATTTTAGAGTTGACACTGGGCTCATCTGGAACTCATGTATGAGAGCTTTAGCATCTACTCCCTTTGCCAGAAGGGCTGCTGTGGTGCGCAGAACCAGTGGCACCCCACCACAGTGATTGGCTAGCTGTTCTGCATCCTGTCCAGATACTTTTGACTCCAGCGTCAGAAGCAATTCTTTGGCATGATCTGGACAAAGCGAGTCTAGCCGAAGCTCAAACATTTCAACAGAAAAGAAAGTAATTGACTGACGAGATGTAATCAAGATTTTCACATGGGCAGCAGTCTGTGCAACAGTGCTAATAAAATTACAAAATTCATCCTTCACGTGGGGCAGTAACATGTCTTCAGCATTGTCCAGAATGATGACACAGTGTTTTGTTAAAGTGCGAAGACAGTGCTTGGCCTGCTGGATTGGCTGCTTACCGGCCAAAATTTGAAGAGCTCCTAGAAGGGAGTTCACCATTGCATTTAAGGATGTCAAACTCCTGAGGGAGACATAATACACATTTGTTTTTCCTTGTGCTATTAATTCATGTCCTACTTGAATGGCTACTGCAGACTTTCCAAACCCAGGAGGTCCAGTAATGGAGACTATCTGGCAGGAATCACTCGCTGAAAGTTTTTCCATGACTGTGGAACATTGACCTTTCCGCCCAACAAAGTTTGGAACTTTGGAGGGAATGCCACCTAGGTTCTGGAATGCCTTTTTAATAACCACTCCTGAAGGAAAGGAAAACATTAGTATGATGATGATGATCATAAAAAAAAGTCAGGCAATAACAATGAGGAAGAACCTCTGAGGAGATAAAACTTATCAGTATGAGCGTGACTGACCTCTGCTTTGCAAGGTTTTACATTATTTATAATAATAATAATAATGATAATTAAAATTTTATAACACGCCTTTTCTATGCAGAAAAGGCGTATATTTCCCTTTTTCTCTGTTTAAAGGTATAAGTTTGTTTTTCTTGCATGAGTTACATGTAACAACTTAAAAAACCAATGATTAACAAACTTGTAAACTAGAAATGCTTTAATCAAATCAAAACTGCCACAAATCCCTCAAACATGATTGGTCCTAAGTAGGTCATTTAGATTATAGTAATAGGGCAGTTCACAAGCGGTGCAGGAATTTCTTTAATTTCGGAAGTAGATGTATAATAGGACATAAGTAGGCTGAAGACAGTTCAGGGGTAATCAATGCAGATTTGTCACCAGTCTTTCTCTTCTGTCCATTCAAAATGGTGCACAGCAATCATGTTGATTGCATTATTATTAGAACTTATTATAAAAATCCCCCAACAACCAAACAGGAGACAAAGCATCATAAAAAAAAACACCTTTGTTGATGACTGCCTTTAGAATATTATATTGAATGTTTTCCAAAAAACATGCAAAAAGTGGAAGATGAAATGGCCAATAGCAGTCAGCTCTGGCAAGTAGCCACCAGAATTTGCCAATTGCTGGCATCTTATGAAATCCCATCGTCGGAGACCCAGGGGCTGTGGGTCGATTTCAAGTTAGAGCATGAAGAGCCCCTGGGAACATTGTCTTACAAGACTAGTTCCAAACGGTCGCAGTCGTTCTGCCATCTGATTGGTGCCAGAAAATCTTTGTGTTTTTCTGCCCAATCAGAGTGAAGTGTACTTTAGAGTCCTTTCGTGTGTTTTAACACGGACATAGACTAATAGCTCAGTTGCTCGCTATGTTTGTTTGGGCCATGTGACGGAGATTTGCTTGAGGTGAAAAGTTTCAGTCTCAGCACACAATGTAAGAGAAATCGATCAGATTGTCCGCGAAAATCTTACNCCAGTTGCTCGACATACCTGCGTGGCCCGTGCGACGAAATAACTTCACGGGATTGGCAAAGTTTCAGTCACAGCAAATTATGCAAAAAATCTAGAAAGATTTAAGCTTAAATCTCGTTTAACGTTTAAAGCGACATATCAATGACTGCAACCATCGTGTTGTATACAAACCTCGCAAACTTTAAAACACGTTCTCTAGTGATACCTGCGAAAGTATTCAGTATAATTTCCGGTAAGATTTTCGCGGACAATCTGATCGATTTCTCTTACATTGTGTGCTGAGACTGAAACTTTTCACCTCAAGCAAATCTCCGTCACATGGCCCAAACAAACATAGCAAGCAACTGAGCTATTAGTCTATGTCCGTGTTTAAACACACGAAAGGACTCTAAAGTACACTTCACTCTGATTGGGCAGAAAAACACAAAGATTTTCTGGCACCAATCAGATGGCAGAACGACTGCGACCGTTTGGAACTAGTCTTGTAAGACAATGTCCCCAGGGGCTCTTCATGCCCTAACTTGAAATCGACCCACAGCCCCTGGGTCTCCGAGGATGATGAAATCCCTGGCCAGGCTTATGATTGAACAATATACAGGTGTGATTATATGGCAGTCATGCTTCACTCATTCTGTACATTTAGTTACATGTTGACAGTATTCCTTTTTCAGATGCTCAGTTCTTGACTATTGCTTTAATTGTGAGATGGAAAAAAAGTCAATTGTACTTTTGTTTTCAATTCATGAATATATGTGTCCAACAGAAGGGTACCTTGAATCTCACATGTCACTGTTTTGAATCAATCATTATGAAAACATTAAAAAGCACTGGGTTTTCCTGTTCTTTCAAAAATCATACAACCACTTTCTGTTTTCCAGTTCTGTCAAAAATCATATTCCTGAATTATAAATGTGAACCTTGCCCCAGAGTGTCTGATTCTATTCAATTCGCTCAGGATTACAGACTGAATCAAACCCCGCTCGGTCTTATCACCATATCAGTGATCACAATAGTGGTGAAAAATCATATATTAATTGAAAGGATTGTAACTCAAATGTCAAATGAGGGACATTTATCACATTGCAACTAAAAAGGAATTCTCCCAACCTGAGATGACAAACTTATTATAAATATTATCATCAAACACTGATCACATGGTAATCACATGCAGAAAAAGAAATACACCAATGGTTTCTTCCTACCGAATCTAAAATTTGTTAAATTTCTTTGATGTTCATGTTTAGGGAAACGTTAACGCCATTCAGGGTAAAAGTTTTCAGTTAATAGCCTCAAAATAAATTTTATCTTAAAGATAATAAATTCGGTAAAGGTTGTAGCATAAATTATTTACAATAAATTCTTCATGCACAACGATTAGGCACCTTGTAAAATTCATGAAGATATATTACGACAAGACGCTGCCTAAACTGAAAAACAAAAAAAAACCTTCGAAGCCTGGGTTAACATAGTTCGAAAAAAAATGGCATTTAGGCGAAGCGTAGGCCTTATACACAGTATTACAAGTGCTTGACATATTATTTCCGATAATTCAAAAGTCTGTTCTTCCATTGGCCTCCCCACCCCCATTTAATGACAATGGGTGATCACGTCCGCAGTTTTATATATAATTGTTAGAACCAATATCTACTCAAAACCACTTCTTGAAATCATTTTCTCCGTTATATAAGAGAGATATCTTTAAAAAGTTAAATACGGGGTTATAACTAAAATGTTTACTTTTCAAAAAATCAAAATAAAAAGCTAACAATCCAAAATTTAAGCTAGGTACAAATGTCGTCAGAACCTAAAGATCTTCCAGAAGATCGCCGTTCAATACTGACCTTGGACTCCAAGAAGGCGATTCCTAAGGTCTTGCCGTCCAATGTGGAAGAGCAGTGAGGACAGCGGGTCTTTATTTTCGTTGCTGAGATCACAGCAGTGAATTAGTTCAAGAAAAAGCTCCCGCGGACGCTTCACCGTCTCGAGATGACTCGCAGGAATCGTGCCCTCGCACAAAAACTTCAAATTCTCAAAATCTTCATCAGTCAGTTCGCGACCAATGGAAAGCAGTAAAGACAAAAAATTTGGATCACCTGAATCCATGAAGAAGAAAATATAAAAACGAGAAGCACACCAAGAAAGAAAACAAAATGTTGCCTCGTCAGGCCTTGTCGCCGACGTCGTCCACTAATATTCAACCTCATTCTCAGACTCTCTCCTCTTTGCCTTCGTTTAAAGGAGAGGTCCCGGGAACGAAGTATTTTTTCATGCACCGCGATCTCCCATGACACGCAAGGTTCTCCAAAACTGACTAATCTCGCTTTTTTTTTTTTCCCCTCAGGTCTCCTCTTATAAGATTTCTTTCTTCCTTTTTTTTTCTTCATCTACTGCCCTCGGAGACTCCTCGAGTGATTGGCAAACAGCCAACATACATCTAATTACAGTTCATGGATGATATTGAACGGCTTGAAGCTCAACCAAGATAAAACCGAATTGTTACTCATCAGTTCCAGGCTTCGTCAATCTCCTGTACTCAAGTTTTTTTTAAGTTGGTGATGAAAAGATTAGCTCAGCTCAATCTACAAGATATTTAAAAGTGTTTTCCGATCAACATCTAACAATGGATGAGCAAGTTAAAATAGTCTGTCAGGCCTAAGGAACATAAGTAAGATACGAAAATATCTCAGTCTGGAAACTGCTGAAATTGTGATTC